ATACCTCATATAAGTAGAATCATGCAGCATTTGTCTTTTTTTTTTTTTTTTTTAAGTTTATTTTTTTTAGTAATCTCTACACTGAACGTGGGGCTCAAACTCACAATCCCGGGATTAAGAGTATAGCACTTGTCTTTTTGTGACTGACTATTTTTGATTTAGCATATTGTCCCTGAGGTTCCTCCATAATTTCTATTCTTTTTAACTAAAATATCATTAAGTTCTAAAGCTTTTGTAGTCTGAAATTTGTATTAGATTTCTACTTACTATGTAATAGATTACTATAAATTTAGTGGCTTAAAACAGTCACATTTATTTCAGTTACTGTGGATGAGTGGCTCATGTGGCTGCAATTGTGTGTTGGGCTGCAGTTGTCTTCCAGAGCTCACAGTGCTCTTGTAGGCCCTTGGGGTTGTGGCAGAATTCAGTTCTTCTGGTTGTAGTACTGATGTCCTGCTTTCCTTGTTTCCTGGCTGTCAGCTGGGGGCTCTCAGCTCCTTGAGGTGGCCTCCTCCATCTTCAAAGTCAGAGTGGAAAAGCTCCCACACCGTGAATTCCTCTCACACTTTGAATCTCTGACTTCTCTTCTTGTGGCTTCTAGACCCAGATTTAAAGGGCTTATTTGAGGGATCCCTCACTGCCTCAGTCAGAAGAGCATGAGACTTTTGTTTTCAGAGTCATGAGTTTGAGCCCTGTGTTGGGTACAGAGATTACTTAAAAATAAAATTGTTAAAAAAAAAAAAAAAGCTTAAAAAATAAAGAGGCATATGATTAGGTTAGGCCCACCAGGATAATCTCCCTATCTTAAGGTCAAGTGATTTGGGGCCTTAATTACATCTGCTGCAAAAATCCCTTTATAGCAGTGCCAAGAGGAACTTGATGAACTGGGAGATGTGCGTAAACCAATGCCCAGGAATCTTGAGGGGGACGAGGCATCTGTCACCACATCTCAGTTTTATTCTGTTCTCAGAACAAAACCATTTTAATTTAATTTAATTTACTTATTTGTCAGAGCACAAGCAGGGTTAGCGGCAGGCAGCGGGAGAAGCAGGCTTGTCACTAAGGAGCCCGATGCAGGACTCCATCCCAGGACTTCTGGGATCATGACCTGAGTCTAAGGCAGACACTTAACCGACTGAGCCACCGAGGCACCCCTGAACAAAACCATTCTTAACCATCTTTCAGTTAATGTTGGGAGTTATGATTTCTGAATATGTACAACAGTCTGCGACCATACCACTATGAACGTGCCCGATCTTGTCTGAATATGTACATTAATGTTAGTAAATTCTGCTTTTTTTATTTTTTATTTTTTTTTTCCTGCTTTTTTAAAAAAAATTGAGATATAATTTACATACAGTGAAATGCCAAGATCTTAAATATATTGTTCGTTCTGTTTTGATGAATGCGTGTCAAGATATGGCCCAGAAAATTCCCTCATGCCCCTTGCCAATCATCCGTCACCCCCCCCCCCACTCCTTGGCAACAATGATCTGGTTTTTATAACCACAGGTTAGTTCTGCCTATTGTAGAATTTCATATAAATTGAGATGATACAGTATGTATTTTTTTACATTCAGCTTCTTTCACTCAGCATAACATTTTTGAAATTCATACGTGTTGCTGCCTGTGTCCGTGGTTCCTTTCTATTCCTGAGTAATGTTGTGTTGTATGGATTTACACAGTTAAGCCATTTTCCTCCTGAAGCACATCTCGGAGGGGGCGGGAGGGGGGCACTCATTCTTGTAGGAGACCATGTGGACATACATTTTCATTTCTTCCGGATAAATACCTACGAGTGGGATTGCTCATAGGGTAGATGTGTCATTAACTCTATTTATGTATGTATGTATGTATGTATGATGTATGTATGTATTTATTTAGAGAGGTAGCACGTGAGCAGAGGGAGAGAGAATCTCAAGCAGGCTCCACACTCAGTTGAGCAGAGCCCGGATGTATCATTAACTTTTAAAGAAACAAACCCAGAGTGCTTGTACATTTTACACTTGGACCAGCAATGTGTGAGTGTTCCGGTTGCTTTATATCCCCTCTGGCATTTGGTATTGTTTGTTTTCATCTTCACATTCTAGTGGATGTGTAGTGGCATCTTGTCGAATGGGTTTCATGAGCATTTCTCTGATGACTGATAATGAGCACTTATTCACATGCTTATTGGCCTTTTGTATATACCCGCTTTTGTGAAGTGTCTCTTACATCTTTTACCCATTTAGAAAGTCAGATTGTCTTTTTATTATTGAGTATAGGAATTCCTTATGTATTTGAGTACAAGTCTTTTTGCCAAGTACACATGTTGCAAATATTTTTTCCCAATCTAGGGCTTGACTATATGTTTTTTGGCTGTGCCTTTTAATAATCAATAATTTTAAATTTCGATGAATTCCACTTTATCCATTTTTTTTTTTTTTTTTAGATTTTTTTTTATTCATTTGACAGAGACACAGCGAGAGAGGGAATACAAGCAGGGGGAGTGGGAGAGGGAGAAGCAGGCTTCCCACGGAGCAGGAAGCCCGATGTGGGGCTTGATCCCAGGACCCTGGGATCATGACCTGAGCCAAAGGCAGATGCTCAAAGACTGAGCCACCCAGGCGCCCCTCTCCCTTTTTTTTTTTTTTTTAATTGTTCCTGCTTTCTATTTTGTCTTTTTTGAAATCAAATCATTAAAAGATGTATACTCTTTTGGGAAAACTCATGATTCAAAAAGATATAAAGGTGTGAGTTGTCTCTTTTCCCATTTCCTTTCTCCCGAGAGAATTTTTTTAAAAAATATGTGTATATTTTAAAAGATTTTATTTATTTGAGAGAATGCACCAGAGAGTGAGCCCAAGTTGGGGGGGAGGGGCAGAAGAAGGAGAAGCAGATTCCCCACTGAGCAGGGAGCCCTGAGGAGCAAGGGCTTCCTCAAGGGAGCCCTTGAAGATATCTGGACCCTGGGATCATGACCTGAGCCGAAGGCAAACACTTCACTGACTGAGCCACCCAGGTGCCCCCCCACCAATATATATATTTTTATATGTATATATATTTTTTCAAGATTTTATTTTATTTTTTTAATATTTTATTTTTAAGTAATCTCTACACCCAATGTGGGGCTTGAACTCACAACCCCAAGATCAAGAGTCTCGTGCTCAGGGCACCTGGGTGGCTCAGTCAGTTAAGGGTCTGACTCTTGATTTTGGCCTAGGTCATGACCTCAGGGTGGTGAGGTCAAGCCCTGTGTTAGGCTCTGCCCTCAGTGGGGAGTCTGCTTGAGATTCTACACCCCCCACCACGTGTGTGTGCGTGAGTGCTCTCTCTGAAGATACAAAAATAAATCTTTAAAAAAAAAAAGTCTTGGGGTGCTTGGGTGACTCAGTCGTTAAGCATCTGCCTTCGGCTCAGGTCATGATCACAGGGTCCTAGGATCGAGCCCTGCATGGGGCTCCCTGCTCCGTGGGAGGCCTGCTTCTCCCTTTCCCACTCCCCCTGCTTGTGTTCCCTCTCTTGTTGTGTCTCTCTGTCAAATAAATAAAATCTTAAAAAAATGGGCACCTGGGTGGCTCAGTTGGTTAAGCGACTGCCTTCGGCTCAGGTTATGATCTCAGGGTCCTGGGATCGAGTCCTGCATCGGGCTCCCTGCTCCTTGGGAGCCTGCTTCTCCCTCTGCCCCTCTCTCACTCTCTCTCTCTCATGAATAAATAAATAAAATCTTAAAAAAAAAAAAAAGTCTCATGCTCCCAACTGAGCCAGCCAGATGCCCCTTAAAAATATGTTGCCTTTCTTTAGTTAGGAAAGAAAACTATTCCATATATGTATCTTTGATTAGCACTTAAATACATAAATTTAGTGTTGTGATATTATGTTAATTTGTTTCTCATTTTGAAATAAAAAGTGTTTTTAAACTACATAATGAATACTCTCTATATTTTTTTGCCCAGACTCCCGTAACACCCTGTTCTGTAAACTCTTAGTCACACAGTCCGATGAAGCTGTTTTTCCTTTTTGTTTGCTCAACCAAAGACTTGTAATAGAGACATCTGCATCATTTGGGCTTACTCATTCTTGATTTAGGAAGAGGCATGTTCTCCTGTATTTTCATGTAGTACCACCCTTCCCTGTAGTTTGTCATGCTTAAAATTTGCATCTGAAGAGATGGGTCTGTCGGCCTTTGGTCCCGTGGCAGATTGAATGACCTGGTACACTGTCTGGCTGTGGCCGGGAGCCCTGCCTCGGTGGGGGGTGGGATGGGGGCAGGCACCTGACCAGCTGGTGGGGGACATGGCCTTGTAAAACTCTTTCCTTAGGTGCAGCATGGTCATTGACAAGCAAAGTGAAGTCTTCCTGGGATGTGTGCACATGTCATGTAGTAGTGTGGTTAGGTTATCATGGAGTTAGATCTGTGTACACAGAGGTGGCTGATTTCAGAACAGAACCGCACTCAACCACCTGAGCATGGCTATGGGGAAGGGACCCAGGGAGTCCTGACTGCCTTCATTTCTCGAATTCTGCAAGGGTGTCCATGACAGATTCATCCAAGAGGCAAAGGCATGCTTTGTTTTATCCATTGGGTTATAGTTTTAGGATGCAAACAGATTCGGAATAGATGCTATAATTATGGAGTAAAAACATTCGCCTTTTTTTCATGTGTGTGTGCAAGAAGTATAAATTTATTGCTCCACAACTAAACTTAGGTTAAGGGGCACTGGGGTGGCTCAGTGGTTAAGCGTCTGCCTTCAGCTCAGGTCATGATCCTGGGGTCCTGGGATTGAGCCCCACATCGGGCTCCATGCTCCGTGGGAAGCCTGCTTCTCCCTCTCCCACTCCCCCAGCTTCTGTTCCCTCTCTTGCTGTCTTTCTCTCTGTCAAATAAGTAAATAAATAAAACCTTCAAAAAAAAAAAAAAAAAACTTAGGTTAAGTCACTTCAGGGTTTTTCTCAGTCATACTCAAACAACTTAAGATTTTCTAATCTTCCTTTTCATGTTTCTTTGGGCTTGTTATAAGTTCCAGGAACATACATAAGGAAGGCATCTGGCATTGTGTGCTGGCGTCTGCTGAGAGGTATGCCTTTTTTTTTTTTTTTAAATTCTTTATTTAAATTCAATTTAGTTAACATAAACTGTGTTATTAGTTTCAGGGGTAGAATTTAGTGATCCATCAGTTGCATACACTTTATAGATTTTTGTGATTTTTAGGCCTACACGATTCATTCATTCAGTTTATTCTTGTGATTTAAGTTTAGAAAAGGAGATAAAAGGATTAGATTAGGTTAGATTAGGTTTGAGGAAGGTAAGATTGGAGGAGATACAAGGGTACAAGTAGAAAATGATAAGTCAGTCTATAGAATTTCCATTCTGGAACTGCTTTGTGGCAAGCTCTGGAATTGTATCTCTCTGCTGCCTCTGGCAGTTCATGCTCCACAGATGAAGTTTCTGAACAGGAGGTACCTGATGGAGCACATCCTCCCTTGAGTAGAATTTAGTGATTCTTATTTGGGAAAGAGTAGGCAGTGTATAGCTGGATAAAATATGTTTGTTATTATAATACAGTGTTATATTTAGAAAATAACTCACTATTGTAAGCCTACAAAGGGGTATAACATTCCTGTTTTTATCCAAAAATGTCATGTTTTGAAAATGATTGAGACCCTCCAGGAGACCTTTTTGGATTTGGCTTAAAATATGAACCTAACTTTGTTATATAAGCTGGGGAAGTGACACTCCTCCGCCACACTGTTTAGCCTCTCCTGCTTTCACCCAAACAAAAACTAAACATCAGAAAATGAAAGAATCATTGTTTTGTTTCACTTTTTTTTTTGAAGTAATCTCTACACCCAACATGGGGCTTGAACTCACGACCCTGAGATCAGGAGTCACATGCTTTTCCAACTGAGCCAGCCAGGTGCCCCAGTTTTACCTCTTTTTAAGCAAGTAATATTCCTCCTTTGACTCTGCACTGTGTAATTTTTGTTGTGGGGGCACCTGGGTGGCTTGGTAGGTTAAGTGTCTATCTCCTGATTTTGGCTCAGGTCATGATCTCAGGGTCATGAGATTGAGCCCTGCATCAGGCTCCATGCTGGGTGTGGAGCCTCTGCCCCCCCCCCCAAATAAAAAAAATATATATATAATTTTTGTTCTGAAACTTCAGAACCAAAAACATATGTACATTTTTACTTCTAATATTACCATTGGTCACTTTGCTTTTTAGTCATAGTAGGTAAGGTATTTTGTATTTGGAAATTTCTAAATAAATTGAAGAGGGCTTGAGATTTTTGTTGTTTATCAAAAGGGGAGCATAGGATAAAAAGATTGAGAAATGAAGTTTTCTGTGATTTCATGACAAAGCTAAAATAGGTTAGGTCCCAAAGTTGGGTTTTGTGTTTTGTTTTCTTTGGTCTGCATCATTAATTAAAAAAAAATTCTGGATCTATTATACTGAAATATCCATATAGGAAAAAATTCACCAGGTTACTCAAACTTCTGATTCTAGAATATTTTTATAACCCCCCAAAAGAAACCCTGAACCCATTAGCAGTCACTCCCCACCCTTCTCTCCCTCTAGCCCTTGGCAACCGCCAATCTGCTTCTTGTCTCTAAGGACATTTCATATAAATGGAATTATGCACTATGTGGCCTTTTTATAAAGATTTTATTTATTTGAGAGAACAAGCAGGGGAGAGAGGCAGAGGGAGAGGGAGAAGCGGGCTCTCAGCTGAGCAGGGAGCCCCACGTGGGGCTCAGTCCCAGGACTCTGGGATCATGACCTGAGCCGAAGGCAGACACTTTTTTTTTTTAAAGATTTTATTTATTTATTTGACAGAGAGAGACACAGCGAGAGAAGGAACACAAGCAGGGGGAGTGGGAGAGGGAGAAGCAGGCCTCCTGCTGAGCAGGGAGCTCAATGCGAGGCTTGATCCCAGGACTCTGGGATCATGACCTGAGCCGAAAGGCAGACGCTCAACGACTGAGCCACTCAGGCGCCCCTGAAGGCAGACACTTAACTGACTGAGCCACCCAGGTACCCCAGTATGTGGCCTTCTGTTTCTGGCTTGGTTCACTTAAGTACATGTTTGTGAGGTCTAACCTGTTGAAGCTTGTATCAGTATTTTGTTCCTTTTTTTAGCCAAATAATATTCAACTGTATGGATAGGCCACTTTTTTTTTTTTTTTTTTTAAGATTTTATTTATTTATTTGCCAGAGAGACACAGCCAGAGAGGGAACACAAGCAGGGACAGAGGGAGAGGGAGAAGCAGGCTCCCCGCTGAGCAGAGAGCCCAATGTGGGGCTCCATCCCAGGACCCTGGGATCATGACCTGAGCCGAAGGCAGATACTTAATGACTGAGCCACGCAGTCGCCCCTAAATATATATATTTTCAAACTTTATTTACCACATTAGCTTTTTACTGCCTGCTGGCAGAATTTCACATGCTAAAACTGGGGGAGGTAAAGTGACCAAAATGATGCTCTTTCCTTCTTTGGCCTTTGCTTTCTTTTTGTTAATTCTTTTTTTTAAGGATTTTATTTATTAGAAAGCAAGAGAGCACGTGCATGCACACACTTGAGCCAGGGAGGGGGAGAGGAAGAGGGAGAGGGACAAGCAGACTCTGCCTGAGTGCGGCCCAGTTGGGGGGCTCAGTCTCATGACCCTGGAATCACAACCTGAGCCGAAATCAAGAGTTAGGTGTTCAACTAACTGAACCACCCAGATGCCCCTCCTTTTAATTTTTGAGAGGAGGGAAGGTTTGATAAAATTTGTCAGACTATTGAAAATTGTATTGCCTGTTGATAGAATGATTGTGTATGTATGATCTCATTGTCTGTAGTCAGTATAAGTTTCATTGTGGTGAATATAAAGGGAATATAAATATATATGAAAAGATGAGGTGGTAGAGATGTGAAATGAGAGCATTACATGAAAATTGATAATCTGATATGAGAAAAACGTATGTATGATCTAGTATAATCTTTTAAAAAGTGCCTTTAGAGGGCGCCTGGGTGGCTCAGTTGGTTAAGCGACTGCCTTCGGCTCAGGTCATCATCCTGGAGTCCCAGGATCGAGTCCCGCATCGGGCTCCGTGCTCGGCAGGGAGCCTGCTTCTCCCTCTGACCCTCCCCCGTCTCATGTGCTCTCTCTCTCTCATTCT